TTTTTATAAATGGTTATCTTTTGAAAAAGAATCTTAACAAAAATATCAGTTTTAGCAAATAAATTTTGTTTAAAGTAAATTTGACTTTATTTTGAAATAATTTTTTTTCTTTTAAAGAATCTCTTTAATTTCGAAATAAATAAAAAGTTGTTTTTAAACAAAATTGGTAAGTTTTTTTTTAGTTTTAAAAAATAAGTTAAAAGCTTTCATTTTTTAAAAGTGTTTTATGTCTGCATCTTATGGTGTTGGCATAGTGGTAAGATGTTTGGGATATAACATATATGACCCTAAGTTTGAGTCTTTGCATTCTTTAAATTAAAATTATTTTATTTATTTATTTTTTTTTATCATTGTCTCTACCAAATAATTATTTTAAATAAAGAATTCGTTTAGAATTTTTTTTTAAAACAAAATTCAAAAATACAAACTTTGTATTTTAAAAGGGGTCATAGCTTATATTCCAATGTGAATGTGTTAGCACATTGGTGAGATGTTTAAATGTCAACGCCTAAGTCACGAGCTAAAGTTTCAATGTGCCTTAAAATAAAATTTTTTTGTTATTTTTTTTTTTACTAAATAATTATTTTGAAAACTCTGATGACGGGAATTGGAACCCTCCAATTTACTCGAGGTGTTTAATTTTTCTAATGGTCTTCGTGTCACTCATACATATTAATTCATATCTTATAACAAAATGTGAATTAATATAACATGAGACATTTCGATCAAAACAAAAATATTTTTTTCTTGGACCAAATAAAATAATATGATAATTTATGATAAAATGTGGTACCGTTTTCGAACGGGTGTCGTAGGGTGCTAACACATTCCTTACGCTCAGTCGACTCCCGAACCAGAATCTGTTTTTCGTAGACCAAGTTTTTAAAATAGGTGACCAATCACACCTCGTAGATGATTGGTAGCGACTTCAAACCCTTATCTCGAAAGAGACCCTTCAGAGGATGACGTCGGCCGCTCTGCGTCGCGATGACGTTGCGACATTTCTAGTAAAGAATTTGCTGTTTCCTTATATTTAACTCGACGAGTCAAATCCGAACTACTCGATTCGGCTAGTATTCCCCAAATACATTTTAATAGTTACTAAACTTATAAATGAATCGATGTCGTGAATTTTTTTTTGAAAGATCATAAAAATCAAGAAATACACAGAGAAAGAGAAATAAATAAATTATTATTATCAATCTTTATGTCTACCTTAGTGACATTTTATTGATGTTTTTCTTATATTTTGTTGATTGTTTTGTGATATAATAGAAATTTTGATTATCAATTATGGGCCTGCTAAACCTATAAACATATGGAAATGTCTAAGATAAAAGTTTAAAACTCTTATTTAAAGTATCTCTAAAGTTTTTTTAGGGATAAGAAATACCCAAATTAAATTTGTCTAATTAACTCCTCAACAAATCATTAAAGCTTCCAAAAAGTGGCCCAGATATGAAGATATTTGAGAGCCACAATATTGGTCAATTCAAAGAGTGAATTTGACATTTATTACTCTTCCAATCATCCCTACCTATGCAATTATTCAACTAAAAAACAAATAATATTTCAAATCAAGATAATTGCAAGAGATAATGTCTTCAGACAGCTTTTTAAGAAACTTATTTATCTAAATTTTTTTAATTTTACACTTTTAGATTTATGCATGTAGTATTTTATTTTAATTTCGATTTTACCCTTATTTATTACATTTACATTTATTATAGTTATTTATTTTTTAAATATAAAGGATTTAATTTTATAAATTATTATCATAATCCTTTAATTATTGTGGGCCTCATACTAATTTTCAACGCAAATCTCTTAATTCACCTCTTTAAAACCTTAATTTACTCCTTAAAAAAAATTGATTTTCCTTAATTCACTCCCACATTGGTGCTCAACCTTCAAAGACATTTCAAAATCATAGTATATATCCACTTATATATCTGCATATATACATTCAAAATCACTATAGTATATATCCGCATATACATGTATATATACAAGTTGAGTTATAAGATATATCCACTTATATATCTGCATATATACATTCAAAATCACTATAGTATATATCCGCATTTCCGCATATATACAAGTTGAGTTATAAGATATATCCTAATCAATTTGTCCAAAAAAAGATATATCCTAATCAAATCGCTATACTATATATCCTCACATATATAATATTTCACACCAAATCAGAATTTGAAAACATTAGTTGGAATGCAAACCTTTCAATTCGGAGATGTACGGCTCTGGCGACTGAGAAAAATGGAGCTAGGCGACCGAAGATGAAAGCAGACAAACATCTACCTGAGACGAAGGCAGGCATAAACGCCCAAAGAATAAGAACCAACGGAAATCTCTTTTCGAAAGCGAAAATGAAATGCTCTTGCGACAAAGAAAAGCGGAGCCGGCCAGAGAGGAAGGCAGACGGTCGGAGAAGAGGAATGGAGGGTTGGAGGAAGAAAAGAAAATGAGGAAGAAGAAAGGGGTGAGTTTCGAAAAATAGATGAGTTTTTGGGGTTTTGAAATTTTTTAATTTTGGAAAGTGCCATTAGCACATTTTAAGGGGTTTGACCTCCCAATTTATCGATTCTAAATTTTTATAATTATTTAATACTGAAATGAATCCTAAGGATATACTAGTAATTTGTGTTATGAGTACCATCTAATTAGGGATTGTTTGATGACAAAAGTATAAATTCTATACTTTCCATCCTTTTACGTAATTATGATTTCTAAATAGACCATCTATGTACTAATCCCTAATTGTAATCCTAATCCTATGCTGATGTGGGTGGGCGAATCCTATTTGGAAAGTGGCGCTACCAAAAAATTGATGCGGAATGAATATAAAAGTAATGGTGAAGTTCAAGAATGTTTTATATCAGTAGAGGCTACAACACAGTCCTTTCGAAAGTCATGAAAATACTAGGTTGGAATGTTCGTGGGTTGAGAAATTCATGGACATTTATGGATGTGTGTGATGTAATGATCACATTAAATACCCAGATATTATTCAATATGGAAACAAAGAGTAATATCATTCTCGAAGCACTGGCTTCTACCCAACGGTCTGAAAGCTTTTTCTTTCTATCTCATGCATGTACATAGGTAGAGAGTCTAATGAGATTGCTCATATTCTTGCTAAGTAATCGTTTCATTTTCCCTCTTACTTGTAAGGTGGGTAGAGTCCTTGAATCTCCTCAATTGTAGTCCAAGTGGTAGTTCCTTAAAGTTTCTCCATCGACATCGAAGTCTTAATTCAGAAAGAAAAAAAACCAAGGTGATTGTGATCACCACTAATCATTGGTCTATCTTTATTTTCTTAATTCCCTTTTTACTTTTTCCTCTTTCACTCATTCATTTTTCTACTTAAGTTTATCTACTAATATAATATATTATGTTGGATTTCGCGAAGTCCCGAATGAAAATTATTTTAAGAACATTGACATAAGTGATTCAATGAGTGAAGACTGTATATCTCTAACTAAAAGGTAAGATTCGAATCCCCGTACCTTTCAAAAAAAAATTATTTTAGGAACGACAATAATGGGTCAGATGGGCTTCTGATTTTCAACTCCAACCAAGTTAACCCTTCTACTTTAAACCATATTCAATATAAATTCATCAAAAAGTAAGCTTATCAAAGATTTTATGAAATATTGACTTATAAGTTCTTTTTTTTTCTTTCCCCTTTTTCTTTTGAAATTTCAGTCAACTACAATTTACATAATGCAAGTTGTTACATTTACATATCTACAGGATTTAACTAGATTAATAATATTTAAGTTGTCAAATACATAAGTTACCTTATTTAAATTCATACATTCAAGTGCCAACAAATTTAATTTAATTTGTTATGTAACTTGGATTTCGTATCTGTAATTTTGTAGCCATAATCTCTTCATCATATATTATTTAGCAAAATAAATAAATTCCCCAATTAATTTTTACTATGAAAACCCAACTAAATCAGGAAATTACAAAACTCATACACCTAGCTCACATAGGATAATGGGAAACAAATAATCAATTTCTGGTCACTACTAACAGAAATAATTTTTAAAATATTAAAAGGAATTGAATTATCTAATTTTCTCGTGTTTGCTGTGTGTGTATATATGTTTCTGACAATATATGTTTCCTTAATTCGAAATGAAAATGGAGCATTATTCCAAAGGGACAATTTGGTTAATACCAACGTTGTTGTTTGCCTGTCTGTATAATGTTTCAAATGCATTGGCTTGTGAGTTGAATTATCAAAATCCATACAGAGTTGCATATAGTATTGTTGTAAACAAATTTGGGAGAGGAAACTTCAGAACAATCCAAAGTGCTATTGATTCAATTCCTTTTGGAAGTACCAAATGGATTAGAGTTCAAATTTCTGCTGGCACATATTGGTAAACCATATCATTTATTTACCTTTCTTTTCTTTATGTTTTGTAGTTAATAGTAAATTTAATATTTACATCTTGTTTCGGTATCTGAACTTTCAATAAATAATCATTTTTATACCCATCAAGTTGTCGTTTTTCAACCATCAATTTTTTTTTAATAAATACTTATTTTTATTCAAAATTCAAATTTAAATTTGACTCATCAATGATAATCCATGATAGTACAAACGTTTTCTCCTTTTATTCTGTTGAAGTAATTAATTTGAATTTTGGTAACAGGGAAAAGGTGACAATTCCCAAAGGAAAATCATGCATATTTATAGATGGGGCTGGCAGCAGGGTCACTGAAATTCAATGGAATGACCATCAAACCACAGCTACTAGTGCTACCTTCACTTCTTTTGCAGAAAACCTTGTAGTTCGAGGCATTGCATTCAGGGTAGTATTTCTAAACTTTCCGCTAAATTACAAATTTGGTTCCGGAAGTTTTTACAAAATCGTGTTTTATTTATTTCATATGTACTTTTAAAAGATTTTCAATTAATCAACGCTTAAACTCTCATGATGGTGTATTTCCTATTACTTTAACAAATTTTTAATAAATCGCTAAACTTCAATTTGTGTCTAATAGATATATATTCTTGTTGATAAACTCGATTAGTTTAACATTTACTTATCATGCTAGCTGTATTATTTGAGGATTACATAGGAGTTTAAGTTTTAAGAGTTTAAGCATTTAGTGGCGTAAGTGTAAAATTAAGTAAAAAATCCTAATAGATTTGAGTTAGTTCTCTCATTACCAATTGATTTTTGAGATGGAATTCCATGAATATTGATATGATAAGAGAGCCCAAAGCTCAAACCGACATTGGTTCCAAAAATAGGATCCGGCCAAAAGAGTCACGATAACGATAATGAGGGATGTTAAGGATCTCACATCGAAAAGATCATAAATATAACAAAAGTTTATAATAAACATTGACCGCTTTCAATTGGTTTTGAGATAAACCCTATAAATGTTAACCAACAACAACTTGTTAGATAAAAAATTAAGAGTTCAAATCTGGATAAGCGCATCTCTAAAAGCAGTAGTACCCATGCAGAAACTCGTGGTGTTTCATTTAAAACCGAATGTTATGAGAGTTTTGTGAATGTTTTCGAAGTCGATGAAATAAATGGAAGAGTTTACCGACCAAAATAGGATTTAAACTTATCGAAACCGTGTTTTGTGAATGAAAATGCAGAATACTTACAATGCACCAGGAAGTGTGAGGAGACAAGAAGATATAGCACCAGCAGTTGCAGCTCTTATAATGGGAGACAAAGCAAGTTTCTATGAGTGTAGATTTATTGGACTGCAGGACACTCTGTGGGATGGACCTGGCCGTCATCATTTCGTCAATTGCTACATCGAAGGTGTAATCGATGTCATTTCTGGTTCTGGCCAATCCATCTACGAGGTTACCTTTAAAATAATTAGTTTTAAATATTACATCATTCGAAATATATTCACGTCCGTCTTTTTATTTCCCATGGTTTTACTTGGTTTCACAAAAAAATATAATACCAACAGAGATGTTGTCCTCACTTATATAGTCCGTGTGATTTTGATTGCACACCCAATAGAAAACCAATCTAAACCCAAATCTCTTACTCCCATTATAAATTTTCTCTTTTTTCTTTTTTCACAATAGTGCAAGATTTTTTTCTTCTTGAGTTCAACCAGTGAGAATGGGTCAAAGATTCAAATTCATGATCTCTTTGATTAAAGATAGGTGCTAATTATTGTTGAAGTAGATTTATGTTGGCAGATAAAAGGGTGCAAGTTGAAACCATACTTAGTCGCTTCAAATGATCATAATAGCTTGTCAGTTTCGTTATTGAGACAATAAAATAAAAAACAGTCGATCAGTACGATTTTATAGCAAAGTTTCTGCGTCGACTTTTAATTTCTCTTAAATCGATATTTTGGTTCAATTCAAGGCGTTGGTTTTGGGCAAAAACAACCTGTGGACTGAATTGCTTGTGGTTAGAGATTGGTGTTGATTTTCAAATTTTGATTTTGTATGTGTGTTTGTTTTATGGCAGAAATGTATGATAAATGTGCCAATCCATCAATATGCTCCAATATTGAGTTATGGATACATAACAGCACAAGGAAAAGAGAATCCAAATGAAGGCAGTGGTTTTGTTTTCAATGCATGCTCAGTTGTTGGAAATGGGAGAGTTTATCTTGGAAGGGCTTATAGGCCTTTCTCCACTGTCATTTTCCATAATTCTTTTCTAGCAGGTTTTATTGACCCTGCCGGCTGGAATCCTTGGGGACAAGTTGGCCATGAGTAAGTCCTGTTTTTTCTAGGATCTCCACAATACGAACGGACGTTATCAAACGGACTCTAACTTATGATTTTGTTTGTATAAATGATTTTGTAGGACGAGTTTAACATATGCAGAGCTGAATTGTCGTGGACCCGGAGCAAACATTTCGAGGCGTGTGCCTTGGCTTAAGAGACTCCATAGAGCTGAGATTAGACATTTCACAGACATTTCTTTTATCGATCAAGAAGGTTGGACTTCAAGGCTTCCTCTACTTTAATTTCTTAATAGTAATTGTGGGAAAGTTTTCTTAATATTATTTGTATTTTACTTTGTGATTTTTATTATGGTATAAATAAATTATCCAGTAGCTACATATCAAGCATAATTTTATAGTTACATAACTGATAATTTATAGTTTGAAAATACTTTTAGATTGCATTAAATAATGGATATACAAAACTTGATTGTGGTTGTATCAATTATATTGCTTGTAAGAATTACAAGAACAGTGAGTTCGATATTAACTCTCAAGAACAAAGTAAATTACATAACTTATTTGAGGTGAATTTGGTATGAACCCACAGTAAAATGCACTTTGGATTAGGAGGGTACAAGTGTGATTGAGAGTGATTTTGGCATATTGGCCGAATCACTTTTGTCAACGTAAAATAAATCACTTCCCTTCCCATATGGATCATGTTTGGGAAAATAAAATTTTGATTTCAAGAAAGCTTAAAATGACTCTAAATTGATTTTTAAGACATCATTTAGATGGTGATTTGTGAAAATCAATTATACTCAAATCTCTTTTTTCAAAATCACTCATTCTACCATCACTCCCAAACATCTTAAGAGACGGAACTTTCATGATGTTTGAAACTCGAGCCAGAAATGTCTCATTTTGTTTCGTTCCCGTTCTTCATTTTCCACTCTACGAATTCACATAAAAGGAAGACTAAGCAAGTTTCTGGGTCACATAATCCAACGTAAAAAAGGGTGTGAAGATGCATTTTTGTGGAAAAAGCCATAGATATATGGGATTTTCATTATTTATGGTGTTTTTTAAATGCATTTTTGGCGGAAAAAGCCAAAGGGAAAACGGTTGTGGTTTCATGACACTTTAAAAAGTACCTTATGAAAGAGTGGAGGCCTATTTTTTGGCCAAAAAAGATGAAGATTTATGAATTTTTAGTTATTTATGACGTTTTTTAAAACATCCCAAAAAGAAGAAAAAATAGGCAATTGCAAATATGGCAAAAATATTTAGTAAAATAACAACGGCATTTAGTTTTTTCAAATATAGCACTTTAAAAAAGACAGAGGTCCAATTTTAAAATGACAACTTTACCCAAATGATATACATCTGTAATATATCTGTAATGTATCTGTCACTGCTGATATATGTATGTGATATACGTTTGATATACAATGATATGAGTGTCTGATATACTTGTAATATGTATGTGATATACATTTGATATACTACTGATACGAGTGTCTATGTGATATACATATGATATACTGCTGATATGAGTGTCTAATATACTACTAATAAAAGTATCTAATATACTACTGATATTACTGCAAATTTATGCTATATTTGAAAATTTTAAAAAACATGTGACATATTTTGAAATACATAAAAGATTTTTTCTATCCACTATAATTTCCCAGAAAAAAAGGGTTGTGATTCTATAACACTTAAAAAAACGTTACGAAACGGTGGAAGCGCATTTTTTAGCTAAAAAAATATGGAAATTTACGAATTTTTCATCATTTTTGACGTTTTTAAATATAGTGGAAAGCCAGAAATATAGGGATTCTATAACACTTTAAAAACGTCACAAATTGATGTTGCACGTTTTTTGTGGCAAAATATGGAAGATTTAGCTGCATGTTTTTTTTGTTAATAAGTAGATAAAATTTTGGGAATTTCATTATATTTTTTAAATGTTGTAAAATGTTGAGCGTGTTTCAACGAATATTTGAGATATGGACTCGGAACTTTATGACGATTTTTCAACGTCACAGAAAATCATAAAATTTTAGAATTTCATGAAACTTAAAAAACAATTCAAAAAGATTCAAAACATATGTTTTCGATTTTAAAAATACTCTGTCCTTATTTAGTTCGAATTTTATGAATTTTTTTGACTTTTTCCAATGTTCAGTAGTGCTACAAGATTTTATTGTGTTAATTTGAAATTGAACCTAGGATATATTTTGTTCAAAATTTGTATAGGTCGTCTTTTGGAGATAGTTCGCAAAATGTTGAACTATATAAGATTTTATTAAAAGCAATGTGACTCATCGTGTAGGTAATTCGTCTCTAGTGGCAAAGTAAAAAACGTTCGAAATTAAAAAAGCATCATAAAAGGTAAAAATCGCATTTTTGGCAGGAAAAAATGGAGTCCTCCAAATATTTTTTGCTTGTGACGTTTTTTAACCATGACAAAATGATAGAAAATTCTCTCGAGTTTTCCCGAGCCCCCGTCGCTTGGTCTATTCTTCTTTTATCTCCCCATAACATATTGTATTATGTGGTTATTATGAGATTTGTTAGTTTGTTTAACTTGAAATCTGTCCCGTATGTCTGCCTCCATCCGTTGTTACCATGGACTACTTTAGCATTTATTTAGTTTTAATTTTGGTTTTTATGTAAATTGAGTTTAAGGATTTTGGGAAAGATATTTCAATTTAAATTTCATCCCATGCATATTAATTTTTGTGGTATATTGAGTCTCAATCAATCCCCATTGTCTACCCAACCTATCCTACGTTTTCAAGTTATACTAACTTTGTCAAATCAAGATAGCTCAGAATCTCCTCCAAGAAGAATGCAACAATCTTTGCCAGATATTTATGCTTCAAGTAAACATTTTGCCTTGTTTGTCTAGGAGCAAAAAAGTTTGAATGATGCAGCAAATGAAGAAGCTTGTATCAAAGCTATGGATGAATAAATGGCTAGAGCATTGAAAGAAATAAAACGTGGGAGCTTGACTTACCTCCCAAGAAAGAAGTAATTGGCTTAAGATGGGTCTTTAAGACCAAATTTGAAGAAGATGGGTCCATTCAAAAGCATAAAGTTCGCCTAGTAGCAAAAAGGTATTCCCAACAGCCTGGTGTCGATTTTAATGAGACTTTTGCATCAGTAGCTTGCATGGAGACAATAAGAACTGTTCTTTCTTTAGTAGCCCAGCTAAAATTGAATGTGTTTCAACTGGATGTCAAATCTGCTTTCTTGATTGATGAGTTGGAAGAGGAACCATACATAGAGCAACCTCAAGTGTATATTGTTAATGGAAATGAGGAGAAAGTTTATCGAATCCATAAGACCTTGTACGGGCACCTCGTGAATGGAACAACAAGATTGATGGATACTTCTGTCATAATGGTTTTCAAAAAAGTCCCAACCAACATCCACTATATGTGAAGAAGGAAGGTACAAATTTCCTTGTTGTTTGCTTATATGTTGATGATCTGATCTATTTTGGGACTAAATTAGAAACGCTTGAAGAATTTAAGCAAAGTATGATGAAAAAATTTGAAATGACTGATTTGTGTCTCATTGAATATTTTCTTGGAATTGAAGTCAAGTAGCAGGTCAATTTTTTTTTTCTCAAGAAAAATATGTGCATGATTTTCTCTAAATTTCACATCAGAAATTGCAAGCCTATTGCAACTTCTATGGCATCAAATGAGAAGCTATGTTGTGAACATAACTGGTAAACCATATCCAAAGACTTTTCAAAATCTTGTTGGTTCATTGATTTATCTTACTAATACCTGGCCAGATATTATGCATTATGTCAGCATCATTTCGAGATACATGAATGTGTAATCCTAATTCATGATTGTTCTAAAATAAAAGCCATAAAATTTCAGAACAATCAAGACCAATGATCTAAGCATGGAAGAAAAGTAAAATCTATAAAAATATTAGAATTACCTTAAACCATTAGATAGATTGACCACGATCTGCAAGAAGCTGTGATTTATGGTCTTTCTCAACTATGCAACCCATACCAAATATGGGAAATACTCTCTGTTTGATGGGGAACAGGAAGCTCAAGAAGCATAGTGTATTGGAGACTATAATTAGGGATGATTAATGGGTTGGTCTCTACTCAGCAAATCACACCACTAAATGGGAAATCATGGGCCCATAATCAAGATCACTCATATACCTATTAAATAGTTCAAATATAATTGCTCTTTAATTTGTTACCCACATATGAATTAATTATTAAATTAATTCCAACAATCTCCCACTTGGGTAACAATTTTCTTTACTAGTAATTATATTAATTTATTTTTTAGTGCACAACTCAATGCTATTAAAATAAACTTCCCTTTAATAACAATTCGGTACATCTAGCATATCGATGAGGAACCAAAGCGGCTTTTGTCACATATTGTATAGTCGCGACTCAATCTTCAATGGTCACCACACCAAATATACTCAATGACATGGATCATGTGTGGAAGAGCAACATGAGAATTACATGTAATGTGATCTATACATGTCTATTCCCAACTGGTCCAACTTTATTCTTTAAAGAGATCAAAATTTATGTTTTATAACTTTATGTTAAACTACATTTAGAAATAAAATCATTCAGAGTAACAAAATAAACCATCTTCTTTATTCTGCAGAAAAGAAAATCACGTGTCTAATTTAAGAAAACACAAACTCCTACTCAACTGACATACCATAATTTCCACATCTATATGAGCATTATGCTCGTAAAACTTTTGTGGAAGTCCTTAATGAGCGGATTTGCAATGATGGAGTTGCATTTCTTTAAACAAAAATACTTTGAATTTTCTTTATCAATTGAAGCTTAAATATTCATACAAAAACTTTTGTTGCTGTAATATGGAAAAATACATATCTTTGTCAAAACAACCTAATGACAAAATTTGCAACCATATTCTTAAGGTCATTGCCACATACAAAATGCTATAAACACAAACTTTAGTGGTGAAAAGGACTAAAGTGACTCTTTACCACGAGATATTAGCATACTTTAAACTCTTAGTGAATATAGCATCAACGGTGGATCGAGATGGCAACTCAAATTATCAAAATCAAATAGCCTTATAATATCTAATTAATATAATTTTGATGAGTGAGCATGTAACCCTTTTTTTATTTTTTATTTTGTTAAACACCTTATAACTTTTTAGATCCAATTAAGAGTTATCAAAAATTCCCTTTCATTCTTGATATGATACTGCAACGGAA